CAATGGTCCAGTCACCATTTGTGCCAAGTTTGATTAGTATTGAAGCAGTTTTTATAGTTTTATAGCAACTTGAACTTGTAACGGGAGACTTTTCAATGAAAACAGCCATTTTTCACAAAATGCTCATGGGGTAATGGGTTAAGTGTATAACATTTATAAAGATTTATATTTTAACAACCCTCATTTAAACAAACATGTATTTTGAAGTCAAAGATCTTAAATATTTAAATAAGATTCAAATATTAACAAAATGCCTTAAGGTACTAAACTTATATATGCAATTAAAACTGTTTCAATTAGCATTTATGTGACCAAGTGGTTATGTACCAAACCAAATATATTTTCTTGGTCTTATATATAACTTTTGAAATAAAATGAACATGTTTGTAGGAAATGAAAAATATTTGTACAGTGTTTATATAACACATCTTAAGAGTATCTTAAAACCAATGTTCACCAAACATGTCTCTAAGTTATAGGGCTTTTATACGCAGATATAATGTTATATGTAACAAGGGAAGCAACTCCTCCAGTCATGATAAACATGTTATAATGATGTAAGATGCTGACAGGTAATGTGAAGATTGTAAAGTGAGAGTTGGGTATATAGACAGAGTAAGTGATTATATTATGCATATAAATATGTATCTATATATATGTAAACATTAATTACAACATTCATCAGTAATGTACTGACCTAATCTAACTGTCAATAATAATTTAATTAACATTCCAGCCTACAACCATTTCTTATAGATATCAATCATATACTGTCTGAATAGCTAAATATTAGGTTACTTCTAAATACATGTATAGCTGGATAAATGGTCAAAATTTCTATCCTGAGAAATAAGAATCAACACCGATGTTATACCTCATTATACAATAGAATTTGTTGCTTTGCTTTACAGAATAGTTGAGAGATATTCTACAACATAATTTTACTTGGAGTGAACAATGGTAAAATGATTTCAAGATAAGTAAAATAGCATAGCTACAGGTTTGCACTAAATTTCGCTATCTTATATTTCTGACAAAAGACTTCTTGCTGTGTTGAAGGAGAAAACTTTCTCAAAGATTTTAAACTTATCGTTTGTTTTTGTAGATTATCTACTATCTAAAGATCTTGCAAAAACAATTACTGACAAGTATAAAGTAAAACTTGCACATACAAACTGAGTCATCAATTTCTCTATCTTTCATTCTTTAACAGAGGCATAAGGTATTTTATAATTTCCCCCAGCAAGATGTTCCATGTTTAACTGGGGATAATTTCTAGCAGACATTCCATTCAGAGACAATGTAAACATTATAAAGCACAAGGCCGACTTGTAATTAAGATCTCAATAAATCATATCCTACTTTCTCAAACTCATCTCTTCGTTTGTTTGTTTGTTTGTTTGTTTCATTTTACGCCTTTTTCCAACAGTATTTCAGTCATATAGGCGGGTAGTTTCCTAACCATCGTTCCTGGAGAGTTACACCAGTACTAGACTACCTTCCTCCGCTCTAAACTACCAAAGCATCTCCCGGGGATCGAACCCACGCCAGAGAGGTAACTGGATTAGAAGTCATCGACTCTAACCCCTCGACCACGGAGGCGGCTCATCTCTTCGTGAAATGGACTTGCCCAGGTTTGAACTGGGAATGGTCTATTTCATGTTAAAGAAATTTGGTTTCAGAATAAAACTAGACATTCAGACTTGCGAGGCTTTATACTGAATCACTTTTGGTTTCCACAGGTTAAAGAAATAGACTAGAAGAGTATAATCTTGTAAATCAGACAGCATGTATAAACAAATAGTAAGTATTTTACAACCACTCAGAGACCTGCTTGAAACATATGTTTCAATCAATCTAAAGTAAAGGTATTCATTGATTCTACTTTAATACGGGCATTACACAAAGGTAATTGGTCAATGTGGAAAATCACATGTTTCAACAACAAAAAAAAAGACTCAGGGTGCAGACATAATCTACATATTCCAAATAGATAAAATTAAATGGATTATATAATGTACATTATTACAGGTCACACATTCACCTGTATGATTACATTTTATTTGAACTTAATTCAGTAAAAGCACACCTGGAATATCAAATCAGACAACAACAACAAAAGATAAATGTACCTATTTTCAACTCCTTATGATGCTAAATATATAAAATGGTCCATTTTTCAATCTGGACAAAATCATTCCTTATTTAACGGGGAAAACTTCAAGAATATGTATGAATATAGAACACAGTGCACATCACTGGTGGTAAGGTAGCCGGCTGGGCAATTGATGTATACATGCACTGGTTTAATGCATACCTTATAATTTCTCTGAACATGTACTTAGGTAGAGTTGATTCTAAAAATATATACACTATTGTGATGAAACCCCAGCCTGAGAAATGTAAAAATTTCTAGAATCTAATCTACAAATTAAACATCAAGAGTAGTAATGTGACGGCCCTGGTATTATTATCTGGTTATTATATATTTCAATTATGCTGAAATTAGCAGATATAATCTCTTTCCCAGGCACTCCCAGTATTAAGGTCAACTTTCGTGGTATATTAGGTTAACTGTTACCATTTTTCAACCTAGATTTATACAATAGAAAACATCACTGATATTAGTTAAAGGGTCCTGACAACAATATCAAATGTTAAATGAGAGGGGGTATATAATTTGATACCAATAATCTGTTAATGATGATGCTATTAACTCCAAAACTGTTACAGTCTGAGCTCTGATAAAATAGTATATAACAGAATAGAACAAATTTGATTATACAGTATGACTTGTATATATAATAGTTCCTGGTCTTATATATTTGATTTCATGCAATGTAAAAGGAAACAGGACTGGTAAACTCAGGAAAATACAAGTACATCTACACTAGCATCTGAAAACTTCCTCACCTTTCTTCATAAAATAACACCATATTTTTTATTATACTGCAGTAAAATGAACATTTGGCTTGTTCTGATAAAACCTTTGCTCAACTGATGAAGATTCAAGAATATATATTTTTGGGGGTTTGGTTTTACGCCGCACCACCAATGTGAGTCATATGGCAACTTTTCTGCTTTACTGGTGGAGGAATTCCTTAGGTGCCCCTCCATGCATTATTTCAGGCACGAACGAGCACCTGAGAAGTACCATTAACATTCCAAGAGAAAATTCAAAGTCTTGGCAGGATACTAGTTTATACTGCATGTTTTAGGTCATAGAATCTCAGAATCTACCCCTTATACACTGATTAATTTCTACAGAATTTGTCAAGCACTTATTCATATAGAGTTCTAGCATTTATGCTTTCCCTGGTTACCTTTAATCTGTTGTTACAGGATAGTGTAATAATGATAATAGAATCTATCATTGGGTTAGATCGAGGATTTGGAAACTCCAACCTTAGGGGTGGGGTTGGGTGGGGGGTGGTTGTGATCAGTTCCCTCGGGACTAGCCTTGGCGCTAAACCTTGTAACCATTAATTTTTGTTACAAAATAGTGGGATTAACACAATGAACATCATTAACTTTACATCAAATGAATCAGACATACAGAACTTGTAACAAGATAAAAGGTTAAAGTTAGTAGTGTAAAATAAATGCATCATCGGAAACAAGACTCCATTGTTACATTCTTTCCCCTTGCAGCTTACATTAACATAATTATGTATAATAGGTTCTAACTCTATATATGTAGATTAAGTTCCGTCTAGTCATAAATCTGACCATCATTGTTTTAATGCACAATATTTTATTCTGGTCATAAAATTGATATCACACTGACGTATTCAGCTGTTTTACAGACTGAACTATGCCAGAAACATTTATTCATCAACTTTCTATCTTTATTTAAAATGAACAAAATTTATTGAGTCCAAATAGATATATTTAGTCAATACTACTTGAGATATACAAATGAAAGTGCCAGTGAAAATTTTAGTGAAGTCACTTCAAAAATTCTAAAATCCTTGTCTCAATATTAAAATCTATGAATCTATACTAATATCTCTGTATCTATACTAAAACTTCTGTATCTATACTAATATCTCTGTATCTATACTAATATCTCTGTATCTATACTAAAACTTCTGTATCAATACTAAACAATCAATAATTGATATCCTTATGAAGATAATAATACATTAATGCGAAGTTAACAAGTTCTAAGATATAGCTTTCTGCTTACAAAAATGTCTACTGGAAAATAACAAGTCGTAACTCAACAATCCACCTGTAACTTGGTGTTGAATATGGCACTTCAAGATCAGCCTGCACAATGCTCACATACATAATTATATACAATCATATTCAGTTTTGTCATAATCTAAATCTTATATCTGTCTGGACACATATCTTATCCTAAATAAAAAAGAAAATACATCTATTACAATATAGGCAGTTACAAAGGACTATAACTCGTCAGATTTTGATGGCATTTGGTGAGCCTAATTTTCTTATGTTAAATTTGATTACAATCAGACTAACTGGTTACATGTATAAGATAGTAGGATGGACCAACAAAAAATGGTAAAGGTCCGAATATACAAAGCCAAATCATATCACCCCTTGATCAACTTCATATAGGTAGGAATAGAACCCGGGCAATAATGTGTGCAATTGGACTAATTAATGTAATAAACTTCAATATTATGTCATTTATTACAGCTGTTGTCTTTCTTTTTGAACCTCACGACTTATTACTGAAAAAGAGACCTTTATTTAAGGAGAATTCCAAGTTAAAATATATCAATATATGTATGGTTAAACCAGAGACATCTATGTCTACAATAAAGACTTTAAAACATTAAAGTTGGCAAAGATTTCATCTGTTAATGATGTTACCAGGATACATAGAGGTTGTTTAGAATAAAGGTAGATGATTATCATGATGGACATACACATTAACACACCAGATATTATACTAAACTAAACCAAATTTACTAAACAACACATAATAAAGTATGATATAAAATCATGTGGACATTACGACAACTTACAGCTGCTGCTTGTTTTTCAGCTTCTTTATTATCCATCACTGGTACTGTACTTTGAGCTGGTGCTGGTGGTGGCACAAATGTTGCTTGTACAGTTGGTTTAGGTAACACAGTATTTGGTGAAACACCATTCACGAAACTTGGTGGTGACTCCTCACGATCTCCATTAGTGTGAGAATTTAAACTTGAAACTGATGATCCTGCCGATCTTGTTAACTCAGATAACGGACTCGATCTATTTATGTCCATACGAGGCTTCTCCACCTCTTCTTTACGAAAACTTGATCGTAACAATCTTGTTCTCTCAGCAACAGATGGTGGTTTTTCTGGAAGTGGTGGTGCCGGCCCGCGTGTACCTACCGGCTGTGCTACTCCACCAACACTTGTATTTGTAGAAGCCATCTTGTTTACAATCCTTCAATATAACTCTTGAATGAGTAATGAACAAGATGTGAACGAAACACTTTATCCACACACAGGAAGCCTGTTGCTTGTTTTAAAGTGAGTCAACCACAATTATTCAGTGTACTTCGTTCACTTTCCTTTGCTAACACATGTAGGCTAACTCTCTGTTTTAATATAACTTCTGGGCAGAGATTTCATAAACAGATACATCCAAGTGTGTTATATTAACTGCAATTTTTATACACATATTTTCCAAGGCTCTCTACACTGGTGATGAGGGCTGATGGTTATCATGCAGCAAATTTCCAAGATAAACTCTTCTCATATACAAACGTAAATATATATATATATGTTTTATTAACATCACATGTTTTCTATTCCACACAGTAGAATGAGTGACTTATCCATTCAACATCACTTTATCACAGTATTTTTGCTATTTTTCTGTGACAACAAAGAAATTTAGATTAGAATATGCTGAGATGTGAAGAATGAACATATAATGTTTCACACACACACAGACTAAACTGACATGTGCAGTTTGGTGAGGTTTATTTCTAGCCTTATCAATGAATCACTAATTAACAGCAGATGGGATGTAGCAATGGGAGGAGGTTATCCTTAACTTCTTCATGAAAACCTTGATGACATCCAATCGTGAAATTATATCAATAATATTGAGAAATATGAGAACTTGTAGAGAACACAGATTTCACTGATAATGTTTCTCTTTATAATATGACTCAGTTAAGGTGTTTTTACAATCTTCACCAATAAATGTCAATAAAAAAACAAGCAATTTTGCGTATTTATTATGTTTACATTACATGAAGTATTTGCTGAAAACCATTCATGAATACTGTACAACACAAGGGATTTTTTATCATTTAACTTTCCATTGTTCATGACATCATAATATGTAAAACCAAACATCATTCATTTTACTGATATTTTTGTTTAAACATTTTTTTTTACAAATCAATCAAATGTATTTTTACAGATCATCTCTTTGGTTTTATAATCTAAATATTGTTTGTTGTGACTTTATCTGGTGAAGACAAATCATGATTTTCTATGTTTAAACAATTAAAACTTATCAATAATCAGCGATTTTTTAACAAACAGTGTTATGATCTGTCAGTTTTATGTTTCAAACAAAGGCATGTCATTGGTTAAGTATAAAATAATGAGTCTCAGATCAATACAATGGCATATTGTTAATACACTGTTAGTTTCGTTGTTGTCATAACTTTCCATTGTTCAAAGAATAACCTCTGTAGTGCAACTACATCTTTACAACAACAATATTATTTCTTTCCCACAATATTTTCCCACCATAGAAACAACACCTCTAACACCAACTGCAAAGGTTTATACTGTTATATCATTAACACCCATCTTTTCATAGTTTTTGGGGCAAAAATTAAACTCAATTTCTTTCACTAAATTAATTTTCCTCTATTCTCTATTCTATAAAGAAATCCCCCATCCCTGGAATTTGAAAAGACTATACCTGCCCATAACAATATCTAATGAATGACAAAATTTCTCCTTTTCTTCAAAACAATACTTGAAGGACCCTGACCTCTTTCCCCTGTAAGGTCATTACAGACCTGGCATTCTTACATAATTTGAATACATGCATAACAAATTGATACTTGTTGAAGGTGAAATAAACTTTTCATCTACACACTAAAACAATAAGACAAGGAATGTCAACACTCAGACAGCAAAGGTCAACACTCAGACAGGGAATGTCAGCACTCAGGCAGGGAATGTCAACACTCAGGCAGGGAATGTCAGCACTCATACAGCAAATGTCAACACTCAGACAGCAAGTGTCAACACTCAGACAGGCAATGTCAACACTCAGACAGAGAATGTCGGCACTCAGACAACACTCAGACAAAGAATGTCAACACTCAGACAGATATTGTAAACACTCAGACAGGGAATGTCAACACTCAGAAAGAGAATGTCAAAACTCAGGCAGGTATTGTTAGAACTCAGACAGGGAATGTCAACACTCAGACAGAAAATGTCAGAACTCAGACAGGGAATGTCAACACTAAGACAGAGAATGTCAACACTTAGACAGAGAATGTTGACACTCAGACAGAGAATGTCAACACTCAGACAGGGAATGTCAGCACTCAGAAAGAGAATGTCTGCACTCAGACAGGGAATGTCAACACTCAGACAGAGAATGTCAGCACTCAGGCAGGGAATGTCAACACTCAGACAGAGAATGTCAGCACTCAGACATGGAATGTCAACACTCAGACAGAGAATGTCAACACTCAGACAGAGATTGTCAACACTCAGATAGGGAATGTCAACACTCAGAAAGAGAATGTCAAAACTCAGGCAGGTATTGTTAGAACTCAGACAGGGAATGTCAGCACTCAGGCAGGGAATGTCAACACTCAGACAGGGAATGTCAGCACTCATACAGCAAATGTCAACACTCAGACAGCAAGTGTCAACACTCAGACAGGGAATGTCAACACTCAGACAGAGAATGTCGGCACTCAGACAACACTCAGACAAAGAATGTCAACACTCAGACAGATATTGTAAACACTCAGACAGAGAATGTCAACACTCAGAAAGAGAATGTCAAAACTCAGACAGGTATTGTTAGAACTCAGACAGGAATGTCAACACTCAGACAGAAAATGTCAGAACTCAGACAGGGAATGTCAACACTCAGACAGAGAATGTCAACACTTAGACAGAGAATGTTGACACTCAGACAGAGAATGTCAACCTTCAGACAGGGAATGTCAGCACTCAGAAAGAGAATGTCTGCACTCAGACAGGGAATGTCAACACTCAGACAGAGAATGTCAGCACTCAGGCAGGGAATGTCAACACTCAGACAGAGAATGTCAGCACTCAGACATGGAATGTCAGCACTCAGACATGGAATGTCAACACTCAGACAGAGAATGTCAACACTCTGGCAGAAATCTCAACACTCAGGCAGGGAATGTCAACACACATGCAGGGAATGTCAACACACATGCAGGGAATGTCAACACTCAGGCAGGGAATGTCAACACTAGGGCAGAAATCTCAACACTCAGAAAGGGAATCTCAACACTCAGGCAGGGAATCATCAATGTCAACACTCGGGAAGAAATCTTAACACTCAGGCAGGGAATCATCAATGTCAACACTCAGGCAGGGAATGTTAACCCTCAGACAGGGAATGTCAACACTAAGGCAGAACTCAAAAGACGGACAGGAAACTGTAGAGCAGGGAATGGCAAGAAAATGTCAACTCTGGGGAAGGAATGACAATCGTTTTGCAAGAAAATATAAACTCTTGAGGCAGGGGATGACAACACTATGGCAGGGAAAAGCAAATCTGAGACAGAGAATGGCAACTAAATGGCAGGGAATTGCAAGGAGCAGCCAAGATGCTATGATATAAATGTACTGTAAATCTGCCACAGTTTACAGTAGTTATTTGAACTATCAAATCATATAAACATGGCATACAGTAGCAGGAAATACTTGTCTCTCCACTGTATATAGGACACACATGAACATATCTACTGTAGTGGTTATAATACAGTTTACTAATAAATTATACAGCACTTGAACTTTCTTTCAATATTTTAACAACATGCTCACTGTGATCATTACTGTGAGGTTGACATCTGTTATAAATATGACAGTTCCTAGACGACTTCTATATACAAAACTTCATCAGCATCACTTCAAATCAGTATATAACTTAAATTTATAATAATTCTCTAGTAATTTAAAATGTTTAAAGTAGTATATCGAGATTATTAGTAAATGGTTAGGATTCATATAAACTTTCATTTGTACATTTTGTTACTATTTTTTTTGCATTAACTCTAAGTGACCTCTTACAGGAGTTCAGGCACTGTTTAGTATGAACCTTCATTATAGTCAAGCATCAATGTAAAATACAAGGGTATTGAGATAATAAAACATAAAAACTTTTACTAAACTTTACAATTATTATAAGTTATCCAACCATTAGGGTACTGTAGTTGTGTGTATGTCTGACAAGAGACAGGAAGATGAAGGTAGATTGTTCTAGCCTCTTGTCAATCAACAGTGTAGATTAGAGAAAGTCTACAACATGTCTACAATAAATGTTTACTTCACCAAGAATTACCCCCCTCGCCAGCTGCATTGCTAGATATGAGAGGCATGTAAATATGCAAGAGATGCCAAAATATGAGAGTGTTTCTTCAGCAATATGGCACAGATAATCATACAATATAATCATGGTAAATCAATGCTGGCTTCATTAACTCAATTTGTTTGTCTACTCTCCAGATTTTTCATGTATGTTTTCTGCAATAAAGTTAATACTGTAAGACAGCTACACACTGATGAAAATTCAGAATATTTCTTTGAAAAAGAAAATTTATTTAAAATCTTCTATGATCAGAGACATATAAACTGACATTAAATGTAACTAATGTAATTACTGTTAGGTCTTTACCACTAATACTGATATATGACAGTTAAAGAGAAATATTAAACATGAAATTTGTTCATTTAAGACACAGACAAGTTGAAAAACATGGGCGGTTACAATTTATGTAACAAGGGAAGTAATACTTGGAACAATGTTTCTTTAGTACAGACAGAGTTATTCATCTTGTGGTATTTAGACAAGAAAACACACTTCAGCTTGTTTTAAAAAAAATACAAGTGAGCACAGAGAAATGATTATATAACAGTAAATATAAACATTTATTATATACTTATAAATGAAATATTGAGAAATATTGATGAAATAAAATGATTATTTTCATTTTCCGTATTTTCACTGTAAAAATTTATTTTTCACTGCAGTGAAACATATTTTCCGTCATTTCACTGGTGTCTTGCCAGACTACTTTCTTTTAAATTCTGCCAGTACACAAAATTTAAGGGAAAGTCTTTCAAATTTTAATATCAAAAAGGAGAAAATGTATATAATAAACAGAAAATTTAAGTTTTTCTATAAATACATGATTTATTTTCATCTTGTGGCATGAAAATTACCATATTTCAATCGTGGCTACCGCCATGCACTCATGAAATATTTATTTTCATACCACTCAATGAAAATAAATCATGTGTTTATAGAAACAAGAGGGCCATGATGGCCCTGAGGTCGCTCACCTGTATATAGGCCCCCTGAGCAGGGCCAGTTTAAACCCCAGGGCTTTTATTTGAACAAACTTGGAAAACACTCATTAAAATGTTTCACAATGTTAAGCTTTTACTACACACATGTAATGAAAAACAATGATCTCATCCTGTATATAGGCCCCCTGAGCAGGGCCAGTTTAAACCCCAGGGCTTTTATTTGAACAAACTTGGAAAACACTCATTAGAAAATGTTTCACAATGTTAAGCTTTTACTACACACATGTAATGAAAAACAATGATCTCATCCCCCTGTCCCTCCCCCCCAAACCCCCGCTGCCCCCCCCCCCCCCGGCAGGGCCAATTTTCACCCAAGGG